CTGGCCCGGTGGAGTCTAACAGGGTCCACAGCTACCACACCATGGAGAGAGGTGGCCACCCAGAGAGGCCCGGACCGTGCAGACGGGTGGAGCCCTGACCTGTGCCCAGCCACGGGCTGCACCTTCCCATTGGGTGTGCAAGCGCCTACATGTGCACAGACATCTCAAAGCAAGTCCCCAACGGTGCGCGTTGGCAGGAGGTCGATGGGGATGGCAAAGCCAAGAGAAGATATGTCTATGGAAGCTCAAGGGTGTGAGATTGCAAACCAGAGTTCTAGCATACAACCAAGGGTGTGACTGTGCCCTAATAGTGTGAACCGTGTGGGCATTCACAGGCTGCCCAGAGATTCCAGACTTGGCAGTGGTGTGTTGGTGTGTATTTCTCGATCTTCAAAGATGATTTCTGGTCACTGTGGCCCTGTCCCCCGTGGTCACCCCTGAGGCACTACCCCTTCCCCCCGCCACCCACACACCACCCATCCCAGAGCCAAAAAGATTCATCTTTTTCCTTGTGATTTCTTCCATTGCTTGGAAACTTATAAACCACTTGGGAAGTTTAAGAAAAGCTAAGGAAGTTAACAAAAATGTATAAATGCTTTTCCAGAAGGTAAGAAAGACTGCAATGTTTCCTACTAGCTACTGTAGAATTTTATTACTTACTTATGTAAGTGTTAACTCTGTCATCTGCCTGGAGATAATTTAAATATAAATTTATAAATATAAAGTGTTAGCTAATTTCCTCACACCCCAAATTGCTGTCCCTCCAATTCATTATAATACTTGCTTTACCAAGTCTTACGTTTTTATATATAGTAGGCTCTTGTATATAATTGCTGCTTTGTGTTTTGTTCCAATGGTGCGTGTTTCTGATCTACTCTAGTAGCACGCTATTAAATTATTGTTCTTTTAGAACATGTTTTATGGAAGGCTTTATAGCATAATAGCTAAGATTATGGTCTTTGAAGTTGAACTTATTGGGATTTATATATAGGAACGTTGCCACTGAATAAATGTGTGACCTTGGGCAAGCTACCTCAGAATTCTTCAGCTGTAAAATGGAGTATTAGGAATTCTATAAATAACATCTTCCTCACACGTTCAGAACAAACTGAGAGATAGCTACAGGAATAAGTCACAGAGATAAAACATTAACCTTATTACTGAGGACTGCTGTCCACTGCCACAGCTTGATTCAACGTTGTACTAGAGAGTCCAGCCTTTGCAATAAGGCAAGAAAAAGATATGAAATATGATTAGAAAATCAAGCCAAAAAGCAAAGCCTCAGTGGGCACTCTGATCCTTCATCCCTGACTTAGATACACTTGAACCTGTGTCATAGGTAGTGCTGGACCCCCTGAGTCTTCCCTCCACCTGCTGGAAGAGCCTTCCCCCATCAAGTTACTACAGACCACAGTTGAAATACAAGTATCCTGATGAAAGAGGAACAAGAGAGGAGAGAGAGGCCAGGAACGTCCTCTTGGTGAAGTCCCTTCTCATAGAAATATGAGGTGGGGGTGGCAGTGGAGGCTCCCCCCGTGACAACCTCACATGGGGTTGTAGTCAGCATGCATGTGAGGCACTCAGTACAGTGTCTGACACGTGGGTGCACAGCAAATACTGTTCTTATGCACAGGATCCTGTTCCCTTTCCTTCTCCTCTTGTTTTGAATTTCTTACCAAAAAAATGTCCCCCATGTATTTTTCCAGATGAAATACAGGGTCCATTGGTGGTGTTCTAAGAAAAAAATACTTGTCCTTAATACCTGGCTCACCCCCCACCATTTCTTTTTTTTTTTAATTTTTTTTTTCAACGTTTATTTATTTTTGGGACAGAGAGAGACAGAGCATGAACAGGGGAGGGGCAGAGAGAGAGGGAGACACAGAATCGGAAACAGGTTCCAGGCTCTGAGCCATCAGCCCAGAGCCTGACGCGGGGCTCGAACTCACGGAGCGCGAGATCGTGACCTGGCTGAAGTCGGACGCTTAACCGACTGCACCACCCAGGCACCCCCCCCCCCACCATTTCAGTACATGCTACATCAATGTATAAATGATCCCAGGGGTCGGGGAGGGCGGGGTGTGGGATTGGTTCAGGCACAGGACTGAGGTGGGCAGCAGGGAGAGGAAGGATAGGTGGGTGGAGAGGTTAGTGGGTTTGGGGAATGGGAGACCAGTGTGGAACCAGGTCCAGAGACTCAAAGACGGGGATTGTGAGTGAGCGGTGGAGGAAGCTCCCAAGAGCCAGGTGGGCTCTCAGCTGAGGAGAGCCAGGTGGGCAACCAGGGGTGATGATTGAGCATGGGAAGTGAAGACCAAAGCCAAGGGGGTGTAATCTTCTGGGAACTGAGAATGTGTACCAAAGTCCAGGTCCTGGTTCCAGGGTCCAGCTCTGCCGCTGGCCGCTGTCGCAAGCTGCAGACCCTCCCTGGGCCTCAGAGCCCCTTTATCAAGTGAGGATCCTCTCCATGCCACAGGGCTGCAAACCTGATTGAGGGGTGTCCCCCGGGCCCCCCAACCTATTCTTTCTCTCTCCAGACACCCAGGCCTGCTTCCTTTTCCTGTTACCTCCCTTGAGCCTTAATGTCCTCCTGGTCCCTGGAAAGGGGAAATGCTCAGTTACCGGGACTCTGTCCCTCCCCGCCCACCACTCTGGGTCCGTCAGTCCCCACTTCTGGGAAAACAGCCTTCCTTCACTTTGGCCCCACTGCCACCTTGGCTTTTCATGAATGCATTAGTTCAGCAGCCCGCAAATCCCCTCCTCTGAACCTGCCCTCTTCTTGTCCCTGGGGACACGGAGGGAAAGAAGCCAGGGACCCACCCACCTAGAGCTCTCTTTAGTTCATTCATTGCATTTGGGGGGCGGGAAGTGGCAGAGAGGGAGAGAGAGAATCTTAAGCAGGCCTCAGAGCCTGACGCAGGGCTTGATGTCACGATCTGTGAGATCATGACCTGAGCCGAAATCAAGAGTCGGATGCTGAACTGACTGAGTCACCTGGGCGCCCCCTGTCTCATTCATTCCAAAAATGGTTTGGAAGGACTGCCGTGTGCCCGGAACAGGGAAAACAGTGGTGGGCGCCCAGACTCGGTCTCTACTCCTGGGGGACTTCCAAACTTCAGGTCAGTGAGCCAGGAAATTATCACTCATGTGATCTGTGCTCCGCGGGTCCCCATGGCAGCCCAGAGCAGGGGGCCCAGACCAGCCCTCGGAAGGAAGGAAGGCTTCCTGCTAGAGGTGATGTCTGCACTAAGCCGACGGTTGAGCAGACATGAGCCAGTCACGCCGCCACCAGCCGGAGGGAACGAGGCAAAGAGGACTCCAGGGAGAGGGGCACATGATACACCCGGGTGTGTCCGGGGTGGCCGACCCAGAGTCGGAACAAGAGAACTCGAGGCGAGATCGCTGTGGGGGTCTGAAGCCATAGAACACAGGGCCTTGTGGGCACGGCAAGGGTTTCTTATGTTGTCCTACAGGTGGTGGGCAGTTAGTGCGGGGGGTAGGCAAGTGACACTCTACGGTTGGCGTTTTTAACAGGTCAGACTGGATTAGAAGGGGCAGGAGGGGATGAGGGTAGGGTGGGAAAGCTGTCCCAAGAGATAGGGTGGAAATCGGACGCCAGCTTCGAGGGGAAGGCGGGGAGCAGAGGGGTAAGGGGGGAGGGGTGACGAGGGTAGGGAGCGGTGGGTGTGGGTAACAGGACAGGGCTGTCCTAGTGGAAATCTAGACATGGACAAGCATGACATTTCCTGGCATGCCGGCGGCTGGACCTGGGACGGGGACGAAGAGGCCCGTGTGTGGAAGGGACTCAGGTTTGTTCAACAGGGACAGTTGCCTCGCTGACCCAGAGCACTGCGGGGGGAGCAGTTTGGGGGGAAGAGGAGGTCTCTGGGTTTGGACTGCTGAGATTGAGGTGCCAGAGACGGACATCCAGGCAGAGACAGCACCGCCCATCTGGACCAAGGAGGGTCGAGTGGGGCCCCAGGAGCCCGGAAGGGGACGGTATTGGGGGGGGGGGGGCGCGGGTGGTCCGGTGTTGGATGAGGCTGAGGTGACACCAGTGCAGTGCCGGTGGGGGCTGGGCTCCATGGGGTCCCCACTGACCTGGGTGGGAGCGGGAGGCCGACGAAGTGTGCTGGGGAGTGAGAAGGAGGTGAGGAGTGGAGACAAGTATGCAGACAGCTTTCTGGAGACTGGCCGGGGCAGGGAGGTGAGAGACGGGGCAGCCAGAGGTGGGAGTGGGGCTCCGGGAAGGTTGTCTTCTTCCTTTGATGGTGCAGTGCTTAAGTGCCAATGATAGCTGGTGGTCGAGCAGGTGGGGGGAGGGGCCCAGGCGCAGGTGGGCACCCCTTGGTAGAAGGGGGCTGTCCTGGAGAGACAGGGGAGGAGAGGGGCCGGCTGGCCAGAGGCCTGGAGATGTGAGGTTGAGGACAGTCCCACTGAACTAGTTCCAGGCTGAGGACAAAGGCTCAGGGTTTGGGGACGGAGAGGGAAGCATGGAGGGCTTCTGTGTGAGTGTTCAGTGACAGAGGAAAGCCCCGGCTGGGCCTGGGGTTGGAGTCAGAGGTCACCGGGCCAGGTCTGAGTCTGGAATTAGGGTCAAGATTCAGTTTGGGCTCAGAGAGGGCTCTGTCCAGAGTGGAGAGCTGACAGTTAAAACAAGGTCAGAGCCTCGCCTCTCTGGGGCCCGTCCCGAGTTCAGGGTGCAGCCCTAGAACCACTGAGGTCAAAGGTGAGCTCTCCCAGGGGAGATCTGTCCCGGGGTCTGACCTGTCCCGGCCCCCATCCAAAAACCTCCATCCCGAGGGACAATGCCAGCTCAGACCCCACTCTTCCTTCGGGCCAGAGGGGCCCCCAGCCCAGCCCACCCTCCCCACGGCTGGGCACGAGCCGAGTCCTGCCCTGCCCAGTCCAGGGTGAGAATTCCGGCCACACGTCTCTGTGATGTGGTCACATTGGAAAAATGTTAATCAAATATTCTCCTCCGTGTTTCCTTTCTTTCCCAGGCTGGATTCCTAGAAGACAGGAATTTATGGTGTGAGAGCTCCAGCCCCCGCAAACCCGCAGCCAAGGTCAACAGCACGAGGGGGGCAGCCCTGCCAAGCGAGGAGGGGAGCAGTGACTTTGGGAGCTGGTTGCACAGAAAACCAAAGTACATGCATTTAAAAAAAAAAAAAAAAATCCCTTCTCTCCCTCACGTTCCCAAACTGGGGGCTTAAAAAAAGTCCCCCAGACTGGCCCAGACAAGGCCCCTTGTCTGGGAAGACTGAACCCGTTTGGAGACAAGGCATGCGAAGCTGCTGGGGCGGGGGCCCATGGAAGGCCTCGGGGTGGGTGGTGAGCAGGCTACGCATGTGTCCTCGTCCTTCGAGCCAACCGAGGGCAGCTGAGATGGAAATAGGAGCCCTGGGCCCTTCAGAAAGCCCCCCAACGTGACAGCCTCATTTGCCCCCTCTCCCCTCTCCCTTCCGGAGTCGGGGGTCTTGACTACCCACACACACTGAATGCCCAGCACCCTGGGGACCAGAGCTCCCTGTCACAGGCCCTGAGTCTCTGGCAGGAGAGAATAAGTTTGCCCCAGCCTCCTAGGGAGCTGAGGAGGGGCCTGGAGACCACCTCGATTCAGACTCCAACGACTGGGCGCTGGGAAGGTAGCCCCCACCCTGGTCCAGAGCCTGGGCAGGTGCAGCTAAACACCCACCGGTTATCTGTGCACCTGACGTTTCTGAACCCCATGGGGTTGCACCACCTGGGACAATACAACAAGGCAGCCTCCTGCCCTGGAGAATCCCCGGCAAGCGGCGGGGGGGAGCACTGACACGGAAACGGATGGCGACCAACACGTGAGGGGCTGTGGGTCCCCCCAGGGGGGGAGTGAGCACCCTGGGGTGCAGAGAAAGACATTGGGCAGAGAAAGCTTCCTGAAGGAGGTGCCCCCCAGGGGTGGCCGGAGTTCACCAGGCGGACATCCAGTGGGAGGGGGGCTTGGAGGGAACATTCCAGCTAAGTCCACAGCATGTGCAAAGGCCCAGAATGTTTATACCTTGGTAAGACTTTTCATATAAATAAATGCTCAAATCCAAAAAAACAAAAAGGCCTCTGGCAAACCTCATGTCTGGGTTTCTTGCTCAGAAAATGAAGCCCTGCTCTGCCCTGGAGACCAGGGGCCAGCAGAAGGGGGGTGTCTGACACGGCCCTCAGGTTCCCACCCCTTCCACCCCCACAGCACCACCCCATAGACCCCCCTACAGGGTCCACCTCTCAGCCCCCGCCCAACACTGGCTGCTTCCTCCCGACCACCTCCTTCCAAGGCCAAATTACCACTTTCACCCTGGTCTCCTGCCGTGTGCCAGGAGCCGAGAGGGGATAGGGGACACTCCTCTGGGGCACCGGGGTCTTTCCAGGGTCTCTGATCCCTGGATGCCTGGAGTAGAGGGAACCTGAACCTCCAGTTTATATGGGTTTTTTTTTTAACGGTTATTTATTTATTTTGAGAGAGAGAGAGTGCATGTGAGCCAAGGAGGGGCAGAGAGACAGAGAGAGAGTGAGAGAGAGAGAGGGAATCTGAAGCAGACTCCGCACTGTCAGCACAGAGCCCAACATGGGGCTCCAACCCATGAACTGTGAGATCAGGACCTGAGCCGAAATCACGAGTCAGATGCTTAACCGACTGAGCCCCCCAGGTGTCCTTATATGTTATTTTTAAATCTCTTTTCGGCCCTCAAGTAGAGAGGATTGACTGATTTAATTTTTTTTATTATTGAAGAGTAATTGACATACAGTATTGTATGAGTTCGGGGCGCCTGGGGGGCTCAGTCGGTTAAGCATCTGACTTCGGCTCAGGTCATGATCTCACAGTCCGTGAGTTCAAGCCCCATGCTGGGCTCTGTGCTGACAGCTCGGAGCCTGGAGCCTGCTTCGGATTCTGTGTCTCCCTGTCTGTGACTCTCCCCCATTCATGCTCTGTCTCTCTCTGTCTCAAAAATAAATAAACATTAAAATAATTAAAAAAAATAAAAAATAATATTGTATGAGTTCAGGTGCACAACAATACATATGCACATGTGTTCTGCAAGTCCGGGTGCCATATTATCATACTGTTACCGTATTATTGACTATATTCCCCGTGCCTAGGAAGCTTCATTTATATTGTTCCTTTCAATCCTGTTCGTGCCCCCACAGGCAAACTTTCCCAAGCATGTCTTTTTTATTCCTGTGTATTCTTGGATGCTTAACTGGCACGGAGGTTCCTCTTGGGGAATGGCATGTCTTGGAGCTAGGCTGGTGGCTGCACCACATCGTGACTGTACCAAATGCCACAGGACTGTATGCTTCAAAACGGGGTCAATGTTACGTTATGTGAATTTCACCTCATTTTTTTAAAACGTGTCTGGCTGTTGAGGGGGTGTTATTTACATGAGTGGAGTTGGGCTGTGGGCTGTACTTCTTTCTTATTTTTTCCACTCGTGCCGCTTTTTTTTTTTTAATGTTTTATTTTATTATTTGTTTGAGAGAGAGAGAGAGAGAGAGAGTGTGTGTGTGCAAGCAGGGAAGAGGGCAGAGAGAGAGGGAGACAGAGAATCCGAAGCAGGCTCCAGGCTCTGCACTGACAGCAATGAGCCCGACTCGGGGCTCGAGTTCACGAACCTCGAGATCATGACCTGAGCCGAAGTCAGACTCTTGAACCAACTGAGCCACCCAGGCGCCCCTCAGGCACCCCTCGTGCTCTGTTTTTAAGATCTAACAACCTAGTCTCATCTCCACTGGGCTTGTGGCTTCACACGTGACTGTCACGTGGTGCCCTGGTGTGGGCGTGGCCACCTTTTGCACACACACTCCACTGATGGGCACCTGGGGAAGCCCTGTCCCTGCCTCTACATGCACTTGACTGAATGGAGCGCTGCTGGATGGCCCCTCATTGGGGCCACTCCTGCTTACATCCTGCCAACACTGGCCAGTACCTACCTCTTTACTGCCTGGCAGCCTGATGGGTGGTAAGCAGTATCTTCTTATTATTCTGATTTGCATTTCTCTGATTATAAGTGAGTTTGAGTGGTCCTTTCTGTTCTCTGGTTGTTTACATTTCCTCTCCTGCAAATGGCCAGTTCATACTCTTTGCCCATTTTGTTATAGGGGCTGCAGTCTATCCGTCCTCACTTCACAGCCACCCCATGCGTATTCCAGAACCGCAGTCCCTTGTTGCTTAAGACGCACAAATATCATCCTCCTCCCGTCTGCCGTGTTGCCGGTGGAGTCCTCCTCTGAACCAAGATCCTGAATTCCAGCTGGATATTTTTGAGGAACTTGATAAACTTACCCTAAAATATATGGAGGGGACGCCTGGGTGGCTCAGTCGGGGTTGAGTGTTCGACTTTGGCTCAGGTCACAATCTTACGGTTCATGGGTTCGAGTTGCACATCGGACTCTCGGCTGTCAGCACAGAGTCGGCTTCGGATCCTCTGTCCCCCCACCCCCCCGTCCCTCCCCCACTTGCTCTCTCTCTCTCAAAAATCAATAAACATTTAAAATATATGGAAGAGGGGCGCCTGGGTGGCGCAGTCAGTTAAGCGTCCGACTTCAGCCAGGTCACGATCTCGCGGTCTGTGAGTTCGAGCCCCGCGTCAGGCTCTGGGCTGATGGCTCAGAGCCTGGAGCCTGTTTCTGATTCTGTGTCTCCCTCTCTCTCTGCCCCTCCCCCGTTCATGCTCTGTCTCTCTCTGTCCCAAAAATAAATAAACGTTGAAAAAAAATAAAATATATGGAAGAATAAAGATTTGTAAGTGGCTAGCTGACTTTGAGAAAAAAAAGAGGGGAGGACTGGCCCTGCCTGCTGTTAGCACAGACTACGAAGCCCCGGTCGGGAAGACAGTATGACCCGGGTACAAAAACAGCCAGATGGGCGACAGAACAGATCCGCCGGTTCAAAGGGAGCTGAACTCAGCCCCAGGTCCACGGGTTAAGGATGGAATGGTTAGTCGGGTTGAGGACATGGGCTCACTCTATGGAGAAAAATTACCACCGAAGCAGACTTAGTCTCTTCTAAGAAGGTGACTCCAAAGCGATGAAAGACAGACCTAGATAGGAAAAGCAAGAGGAGAATAAACCGTTGGAGAATATCTTTGTAACATAGGAGGGGGAGAACTTGAAACAAAACCCCAAGTGCACACACCATAAGGCAAAACCGGAGGGCCTGCAGCCTTATCCAGAGGAAGTGGCATTTCCTCCCGGATGCCAGCCTCGGCCCTGCCCACCTGGTGAGTCATGGGCGCACTTGAGGCTGGCAGCCCGGCCCGCCCTTCCCGTCGGTCCCCAGGAGGGAGTAGTGCAATGCCCGCCTTATCTCACCCTTGCCCGCAGCCCTGCAGACATGAGGTCAGGGCTGGGATGCGATGAGGGTGGGAGGCAGGAGGCAGCAGAGGGGTCAGGGAGGGGTCAGGGAGAGGTCAGGGGTCGCTGGCAAATGCTGCACAGGAAAAGCAGACCCTTGAAGGATCCCGGCCAGCTGCCAGGGCTGGGGGAGGTGAAAGGCTAATGCCATCAGGAGGTGGCAGGGGCGAGGGGACGGGGACACGTGTGGCATCCTCGTGGAACAGAGGGCCCTAGACTAAGATCTCCAGTGTAGGGCTCCATCTGTGCCCCCCTACCTCACTGCTCCTCCCAGAATCCTCTCTGGTTTTTCCAATGGTTCTTTAGAGCCAGACCTTCCAGCCAAGACATAGCCAGACTGAGAAGCCATTGAGAGACCTGGCAAGGATGTGTCTACCCTTCCCAGTGTGTCTATACTCCACCAGGGTGCGGCCCTGGGGTGCTCCAGGTAGCTGTGCCTCACCCCTTTGGTCATCCAACAGAGGACCACCCAACACAGGCCCCAGCGCTGACCCCAAGGCTCTCCGAGTCCGGGGTGGGACAAGTGCCCCTCAACAGCAGGGTACGTGTGTGTCTGGATGTGTGGGGCCAAGCTAGGCATGTGGACACCCACACGTGTCTGTGACTGTGTGTATGCAAATATCCAACCATCTGTCCCCTTTGTTTTGTCCCCGAGTCTATGCCAGCTGAACCAACGGCTCTTTTCTAGAAGGTTCCCTAACCCCTGGGACAACCGTCCTCCAGCCTGCCTCTGGGCATCCTGACCAGCGGTGGGCAGCAGTCTGCATGTTGGGCAG